AATGTTGTTACCGCCATTGCATATAAAGCTGGGGCTGTTGAAGAACTTTGTAAAGGCTATTGAAAAAACAAAACCAGGTTTCCAATATCTCTATGAAAAGTTTCCAAGGCTTAGAGAAGCCAAAATCAATGAAGGCGTCTTTGTCGGTCCACAGATTTGAGAACTTCTCCGAGATGACAAGTTTGATCGTCTGTTGCGCGGCAAGGAAAAGAAGGCATGGGAAGCCTTCAAGTCCAAGGCAACGGAGTTTCTCGGGAACAGCAAGGCAGAAGACTATGAAAAACACATGGAAAATTTGCTATGGTCCCATAAAGCACTTGGTGCAAACATGTTACTGAAAATTCACTTCTTACACTCACATTTAAACTATTTCCATTTAAACTGTGGGGCAGTGAGCGATGAGCATGGGGAGAGATTCCACCAGGATATCGCAGGCATGGAGAAAAGATACCAAGGGAAATGGAGTCCATCCATGCTTGCCTATTACTGCTGGAATCTCTCCAGGGATGATCCTACTGCAGTTTACAAGAGAAAAGCCAAAAAGCGCAGTTTAGATACCGAGTAAAGATGGAACCTTGTTGTTACAAGAAAAAACAATAAATGAATGGAAAGTTGTTATCGGTATCAATAAAAAGATAAATGTATAATGATTGGTCTGGTACCCTTCTCATGGCTATATCACAGTTTGCAGAAAAGTTAGGGCGCATAATCACACATCCCCCTCGTAATTTTGAATTATTTTGCTGCAATTTTGACCTGAAGCGGTATCTTGGAAACTGGAGCCAACTAATACTCAGGACTTAATTTTCCTTTATTAGTGACCCAATGCTGGTAAAATTTAGCTACTTTCATTTCATTTCTCCTTTTTGACCAGTGTAATTCTAGGGACATTAATCACTGCTTACACTAAACTGATGAGCAGTAAAAGCTTTTAAAGTGTCGCCCATGGGAAATTTGGGGTATGGTAGTTTTTTGCGGTTTTTCGGGCGCATGCAATTTTAAAGCTTCACATGTTTGGTATCTATTTACCCAATGTGACCCCTTTTTGTTTATATTTTATAAATAAGTTGGGTATTAGATTTTATTTCAGTGCACTAAATTACATTTTTGTGCATTTTAATCTAAAAATACTGGTTTGATAAACATTTGCGCAAATACCGTGGAAAATAAAAAATTGCAAATAGCATTTTTTTTAATTCTACAGGGCCTCTGCTTTCAGAAAATATATAACTCCAAACGGTCTGAAGCCGTTTATTAGCCCAAAATTCTGATTCTGATTTTTTTCATGTGTGCGCAAATATTAAGAAATTGCCCCAGACAGCAAGTGGTTAAATACCACCAAAAGAAAGCTCTATGTGTCCCCAAAAAAATAGTATAAAATTCATTTCAGTACAGCATTGCACGACTGTATAAATGTCAGTCAAAGTACTGCAGTGCTGAACACTGAAAAATGGCCTGGACAGGAAGGGGGTTTAAAACCCTGGTCTTCAAGTGGTCAAGTGTACAGTGGCATAGGCGGGCAAAACACCCACCAAGCAGCCAACCAAAGCACCATCAGACACACACAAAAAGAGGGAACCCAGATTCCCAGCAGGGAGATTAGGTCCTTACTCCTCGACACTAGGCGAAAAACTGAGCTGCCTATAGCAGATGGGGGGGTTTTGTCACCACCAGAGTCCGGCCCCTAGGCTGTTTTTTTTTGCATAGTCCTGCTCTTGAAGGTGGCACTATAACCCATCAGATCAAGATCTCCGCTGTGTCCTTAAATGAATGGAAGAGAAAGTATTTTTAATTCTCAGTGGATGTAGGTGGGATGAATCACCCGACAGCTATTATAGGATTATAGCAGAAGTATAGGCAAAAAGTAAATACAGTGTTAAAATACACACATATAAAAAGGAGTTCCTGCCAAATATTACTACTCATCCAGCCCTGACAAATCCATAGGCCTGGACTGCATAGTAGATGCTGCAGATAAGAAATTTAGCTGGGTCGCTTTCTTTCCAACCAAGCTGCTACTCAATAGTGAAATGAACAGAAGCAGGCTGATGAGCTCATCCCTCTTCTTTCTCCTACTATTAGCATATTCCTGGTCAGTAGATTTGATTGTAGCACACATAACTGGATCCTAGCGCTACCCCTCTTTCTCCCAGGCTGCATTTCACTGTACTCAAATAATTTGATATCTACCCAGATTCAGGTACTCATACTTGATGCAATGAAAAACATTTTAATAATTGTTAAATTTGTAAAAAGAAATTACAGCACACAAAAGGTCCAAAATTGGCACTTACCAGTACAATGCCGACAAGCTGCTCATAGTCGATGGTCAGATGTGTAACTGAAATCCTTAATTCATGAAGCCAGTTTATAATCTGCACATCCTGTAAAACAATGTCGTCATAAAGTATTGGGTTGTATAATAAAACTGGCATTATGGCAAATGTCTGAGATTCTCTAAATAAATCTCCCCAAGAGGAACATATATAACAGACAAATATAGTGCAGCTGTTCAGAGTTTATTAATGGAAAACAGGGTCTGATTATAAAAACAGTAAAAAAAATTAGATAAGCACAAAATGGGGGTTTTAGCCAAGAGCAACAGGGTTTAACTTTAATTATATGGAAATATGCAAGAATTCTGATTAGTCACATAAGCCAACAACAATTTCATGCTTTTTATTTTCTCTTGCCAGATCTTTCATATCAGCAAAAAAATGTTCAATAAGATTAGATGTGCATTTAAGTTCTTTTATGTATGTTACCTTGTAAAAGCCCCCCTTCTGTGGATGTCCAAAAGCCCCAAGACTGCTACTAGGTGCCACCATATTCGATAAGTCAGCAGCCACTGCAGACTCAGAGCCTTTAGTCAAGTAACACTTCCCCTTCCACTTCGCTCCTCCCTCAGCAGATAAAAAGGATATGTAGCAAGATGAGAGGACAGCAGGGATGCTATAAATTAAATACCCTAGTACCAACTGGTTTGAACGAGGAAATAGAAATTCAAACCATCTTATAAATTCCAGTCCATACTGCGTTTATCCACAACTACACGAGCCCCCACGCATGTAGCTACGCTTATAGACTAAGAGTATGTGCCTACAACGATTAAAATATTTTTTTTTAAATCTTAACGATTGACAAAACGTTTCATAAAAATGTTTCCCACAAATAAAATAAAAAACAAAAGCATAAGACTTTTACAGTGTGCGTTTTTTATTTTGAAAGGTTTTTTTTAATTAGATAGGTTTTTACAAAGAAATACACATTTTATACTTTTTATACTATTTCTATACAATTCAATTGCTTTTATTAATTTAACCATTCATCATGTTACCAGTTCTTATCATATTCGAAATAAATCGAAAATAGCTACAATATAGAAACATAAACCCAGCCATCTGCTACAACATAACCATATAAAATGACTCGCCCAACCAAGAGCAACATTGTAGCACACACACACATTTTTGTTTTTATTTTATTTTTACTTTCACTTCTTTTTAAACCAATATGATTAAATGTTTGTTTTTAAATAGATGTCCACGATTGATCTATTTAAACAAGTGGCAGCAATGACGTCTATTATAGGTTATGACCAACCCCTCTCCTTAAACATCTGCCAATAGCAGCCTTACACGATCCCAAGCTCCACCCATCTGTCACTCCCGCACGTATCTCCCGCACGTTCTTGACACTTCTTCTCTGGCTTGAAAAAGAGTCATATAGCCTCGAAACGCGTAGCCGACTTTCCAGACGGACATCCCCACCACCAAGGGAGACTAACTGCCTGGTCCTCTAGTCTTGAGCTTGATCTCCAACGATCATTTACACCCATTGGTTGCCGGCAGCCCTCCACTTCTGTGGAGCGCTATTTCCGTTCTGCCGACGGGTTCCAGCCTGGCCAGCTGAGTACCCACGGCGACTGACTGCAATAACATCTCCAGTGCACAACCTGTTCGTACACATGGCTGCATGACGCCACCTCCAGCCAACGGCAACACTCATATGTTCCAGCCACAGGAGCCTCTCGTGACCTAAGCTGCCAGCACCATCCATTCTTCACTGACAGTGAACCATCACATCCATCTAACAGTGAGTGTCTTTGATTCCTAATATTTGCAGATACTTTCATCATGTATTATACTGCAATCCATTCATGAATTAACCTAACAAGGATCATAAATCTCTGGGTTGTAGCGCTCCTTTTTTGTCTTTTTCATATCTGTATACAGGGTTCCTCTCCCTAGTTTAGAAGCTTGCTCACCCTAAAACCGCCAACAGTCACCACCACGGTAGTGCGCTTGCCATTTTTTCTGTTTGAACCATTTGTATATGATGCCACAGACTCTACATAAGATGCTTCCGGGAACGTCGGCGTCATGTTGGTGTTGTGGACGGAGTACTGGCAATATTTTGCATCTTTTTCTGGTCATATGACTATCCTCTTGTTCTGGAAAGAGTACTTTGTATCTATCCTACATAAATTTACAGACTATTCGATTCCCTTTGAGCCTGATATCGATCTTACCTCATTTGGTAAATGCTGCCAGGAGTTGTATACCAATGCTTTGGAAACAGACAAGGCCTTCTTCTATTGCCATGTGGATCAAGACAGTAAACAAAATCCATAGGATGGAGGACAATGCTTCCACTGATAGGAGTACCCGATAGGGATGCACCAATACAAGTATCCATGCCGATACAGGGCATTATCACGAGTACTGTTGCTCGCTAAAATTCCTCGATATTAAAAGCCGATACCGCAATTGCTGGGGACCTCAAGGCAGCCTTCAAAAGGACCTCGCTGTGCTACTTACAGCACCGGTGGACACACATCTGCCCCATCCTGAGACTATGTCACTGACTCCGGGACCCGCCAGGAGAGGAGGCTGCACCCCAACAACGGCAGGAAGGAATAATTTGGGGGGGGGGAGGGGCAAGGATGGCAGGGAGCCCCCTGTGTACAGCAGTTTCGCTCCTACACTCCTGAGATCTGCATATCATTGCTCCTCACCCCACCCATGTTGCAGGTTATCTGACTGGAGAGCTTTCCTCCTCATCCCAGCCATGGTATATTATCTGACTGCAGAGCATTCCTCCTCATTCCAGCCACGGTACAATTTTATCTGACTGCAGAGCAGTGGCGTAACCAGAGTTATGGGCGCCCGGGGTAGAATTTTTTTTCGCCCCCCCATATTATATAAACATCCACTAGAACTGCACCCCCCACCCCCACACATATATATTAGCTAAGGAACTACAAGTCCAAGCATGCCATCATTGTCCCTGTACAGCCCCACTCCTCCGCCTACCACCCTCAATCAAATGGCCAAACGGAGAGAACAAACTCTGCTAGGTTGTTTAGGGAACCCTTTAGATGTACTGCTGTCAAGGATAGTAGGTGGTTTTCTGCCCAAGAGAATATTTCCTCTGATAAAGCCTGCAGAGCTGGGCTTTTTGTACCCCCCTGCTTGTCAAGATAGAAAAACTAGGTGGAATTGTCCAAAAGGATCTAGAGGTGGCAACCCCTGATCGAGTCCTGAAAGGCTAAGAGAGCTTTCAGTACTGCCTTTAAATTCTATACAATGTGAAGAGGCTTTTGCCTCTATTCTGTCCCATTACCCAGGAGCCATGGCATCCATCAGGTGAGCTCCCCAGCCCTATGAGCTGGCATCCATAGTTAACATGTTGCCTACTGGAACCATCCACTGAAGGCCCTGAGAAAAATGAAATCTCAACCGCCACAACCTAAGACTTTTTTTTGCACTCGTAGAAACTAGAACCTCCATTTCCATAGACATCTGAGACTTGTCCCAAGCTCTTAAGAGAAAATTCTACAACCTCCTTTGGTGGAAGCGGGCCCAGGGCACCACCGGAAATTAAGAAGTCATCTGGCCCAGGACTGACATGACAAACCTTATCAATCTGGCTTGGTTCTCCTGTAACTGGAGAACAGAGTTTGAGACCTTCAGCATCTTCTCTGGGGGAAGAAAGATTTTCTTCTCCACCGTGTTTATAACATAACCTAGGAAAGCTGTGAGGGAATGAAATTTGACTTCTGGTCGTTTATGAGTAATCCTAAACTCAGTAGCCAATCCTTTGTGCATGCCAGATGAGTAAGAAGTATCTGGGGAGAAGGTATAAATAGGAGGAGATTATCCAGATAAGGGATTATTGCTTATACTCTGCAACCGTAGCGGGGCCAGGGCTTCCCCTTGGACCTTCGTAAAGATATGAGGGATCGAAGCGAGCCCCAAAGGGAGAGCTCTCAATTGAAAATGCTGGACTAGCTTCCCCACCTCAGGAACTCCTGTGAGGCAACATTTAATCGGGATGTGCAGGTAAGTATCCCTTAAGTCCAGTGTAACTAGAAAAACTCCCTCCTGGAGAATATTTCAACTGAAAATAATGAATCCATTCTGAACCTCTTGTAGCGAATAACCTGATTTAATGGCTTGAGATTCGGTAAGAGTCTGAATTTTTCGTACGGTTTCTGGACAAGAAAAACATGGGAGTAAATCCCTTTCCCCTGTTCCCTCACTGGGACAGGTAAAATGACTTGAAAGATTGGCAATCAAAAATCTTTGGGGAGGAGTAGAATCGAACTCTAGTTTGTATCCCTCCTGGATAACGCTCCTGATGAAAGGACTGGCTGTGCTTTCCCTCCATCTCCATCGTGGGACTCTATCTGCAAGCTTCTCCATCCTCTTGCCACCCATGAGTCGCCACACGCCCCTCTGTGGAATAATCCAAGGCTGCCGCATTTTTTGGCTGTCCCTGACTTCCATATTTGGCCAGCTATGGGGATTAAGACCTTGGGAGATCTGACTTTGGCTGGTTCACTCGACTACATTGCTGAATTACCGGAGAGATATTGTCTTCCAAACCGTTACTTGTTTAGGTATTTTCAGCTTAGACACGCTTTTCAGGTACAGATGGGAGGGGGGGGAGGGGGGGTTGTAGAGCTCCCTTAGCATCTCACCTTTGGAATCACTACTCAGGCGAGACGGTCTGCGGAAACTTCTCTCGACGGTATACCGAGCCTTGTCGGATACTGCTGGCGTCCATAGACTTCCATTCAAGCCGAAGTGGGTGTTGGATGTGCCGGATCTCTCTGATAATTGGGAAGAAGTTTGGGATTACCCTTTCTCCCACTTCGTCTCTGTTAGAGACCGACTTATTCAATTTAAAATATTGTTTGGCTTGCGAGGATTTAACGGGATGCCTCGTTTTCCTGTTGGCACTGTCCTGCACAACCTGCTGACTTCCGTCATATCTTCTGGGATTGTCTAGGGATTTGGGGGTTCTGGAGGCAGGTTACTGACTTAATCTCGCAGGTGACGGCACACCCAAGCTAGTATAGGGGCTTCTTCCCATTCAG